AAAAAATACTCCTAGTAAAAAAATCAGAATGTGGTCTTTTTTCATAACAGCAACGTTGAATTATGTATTTGCTGTGCATTCAGGCGTTTTACACACAAACTGTAACGTCACTCGTCTGTTATGGAGCCGAGTCAAAAACACCCTGTTACCTAACATCGTTTTTTTGACATTTGTGCGGTTTCTGGGTTAGGTTTTCTATCTGACAACCTGAGAAATACGCCTGACTGCACATCAACCGCATGACTTTTGTCAATATTTAGTGTGGAAAGTTCTTCATAACATAGCCTTGCCATAACATTGGTCTGTTATGCGGCAGAATTAACCCTATTTCTTTATTATTTTCTTTTCCAGGTAACTTTACCCAAAAGAACAAAAACATCGAAGGCATCAGAAGCAACTTCATAAGCACCGTCATAAAACAGATTCAAGTCAAAAAAATTTGCATGCATTGCAAACAGCATTTGATTAAAATCAGTGGCATGCATCATAAATTGATGATAGAAGTCGCGGCTAAAGATAAAGATGATTCGAAAGTTATGAAAAGTTCCATGACCCTGTTATTCCCTGGGGATTGTAGAGAGTATTTCCGAAAATTGTGGGTTCAAGAAAAGGATTTGTTGCAAGAAATTATATCGGTTTTGAAGGGCAACAATACGGCGACTCATCCGACTGATGTGATGTTTCTTGAAGTCGTTGCTGTGCCTCCGCCGAATGTCAGACCGGTAAGTAAAAAAAAATTGAAACTAGTGGTGTATGGCATCGTGCCTTAAGGCAAATTAAGAAATATTCGAGAAATTTTAAACGTTTTCAAATATATTATTACAAATACTGTAGCTTTCATTATTTTTGATATCATGCTGTATCTGAGCAAATCAAATGTAAATCATAAATCATAAATCAATTTATTTCCAGAAGAACATTAACAATCGTCATTTCATCTCGAATTACTTCTTAATTTCAGTTTCAAAAAAATAGTTGAGTCTAATACTTTTAATATCTTGTTATATAGTCCACTCATTTATTTTTATCATTTTCATTTTGATTATATTGTCATATTTCTATACATTATTTTTTCCACAATTTTATTTATTTTATATAAAAAATATCCACCATCTTCTGCTTTTCTCCAATATTTTATACAATATCAAGTAATTATCTAATATTACAAACACTTGGTATCAATGTAGCCTAGATGGATATCCAACTTTTTTATCTTCTGCTAATATAAGTGTGTCGACCCGGGCGCCCGTCAAAAGAACCGGGTCGGCAAACCGCATGTTTGCAATGCCTTAAAATTTGATAAAATATCAAATAGTCATCTAATATTACTAACACTTGATATCAATCTGGCCTAGATAAATATTAAATTTACACAAAATTGAAAAAGTGTTCCGGTATAGTCACAGTCTAAACGCACTTGCAAATAATTCTATGCGACATTTTCACTCATACTGTGCTTAGCTTGGCGGCATTTTCACATTTTTCAATAGTTTTCACAAAATTGTTAAAGCGCTCCAGTACATAAGCAGTCTAAACGCACTTGGGTAAACATTTGTACCAGAGTGGCGCTTATACTGTGCTTAGCCTGGGTAATTTTGAATTTTTAATCCAAAATTACGAAAATATTTTATAAAAAATAAAAACAACTTTTAAAGAAGAGAAGAGACTCTACCGACGAGCAACTTAAATTTTGGTTAGAAATTAGTAAAATATTAATAGTGTACTAGAACGAAGTTGTTTGTCAACAGTATTCTTTTTACCATTGAAATTAATTATTTTAAATGAGTTGCTCGTCAGTAAAGTCCTTTTTTTCAATTAAATTAATTTTGTCACTTATTTCTTTTTATCAAAGTTGAATTTAAATCTTATTCGTTTTACTAATTTATAATGTTGCTCGTCAGTAGAGTCCCTTTTCTCTCACAATTGAACACGTATTTACAAATTTTTAATTACTTCACAAATTTTTAATAATCTTGCTCGTCAGTAGATTCTTTTCTCTCTTTTATGTTTTCAAATATATTATTACAAATACTGTAACTTTCATTATTTTTGCTATCTTATTGTTATATCTGAGCAAATCAAATGCAAATCATAAATCAATTATTACATTAACAATCGTCATTTCATTTCGAATTCAATTTCATAAAAAAAATAGTTGCCTAATTTGCATAAAATTAAAAAAAGTGCTCCCGTATAGTCACAGTCTAAACGTATTTGCAAACAATTCTGTTCGACATTTTCACTTATACTGTGCTTAGCTTGGCGGCATTTTCTCATTTTTCACTTTTTGTCGATTTGACATTCTAAAGATTTATGAATTTTAAAATTGAGTTTTTTAAGATTATTGAGTTTCTGAAGATTTTTGAGATTCTTCATATATCCAGATTTATAGTGCTCGTTGACTCATTTTGTCCCCTACTTTAAAATAGCACAGTTGAAAAAACTCATACTTGTTTTTGAGACAACTACGGTGAACATATTTCGAGATAGAGACGTCGATTCGAAGCCTTGGGTGGTTACATATTTTTTGCCCCCTACTTTGAAATAGTATTGTTCAAAAAATTTATACTTCACTTCGACAAATTGTTACACTTATGTTTTGAGTTTTAATCATTTCCAATTTATGAGAAAAATTTGATTTAACAGAGCAATAAAATTTCCAACTTTGTACTAACTAAACAACAGTGCTCAAAACCAAATAGAACCTAACAACGAAAAAATACTCCTAGTACAACGACAGATTTATATTCTTGAATTTTTGAGGGTTGAGTCTCTGAATTCTTGTTTCTTGATTTTCTTGGGATTATTGAGTTTCTAAAGATTCTTGAGTTTCTTAATATTCTTCAGTTTTTTTTTAGGATTCTTTCGTTTTTAATTAACTTGAGTTTTTTTTTGAGAGTCATGAGATTCTGACGATATTCTTGATAAAACAAGATTGATATTTTAAGATCCTTGAGTATTCGAGGAATCTTAAGTTTTTGATGTTTGATTATTTAATTTACTTGAGATTATTGAGTTTCTAATGATTCTTGAGTTTTTGAAGATTCTCGAGTTCCTATTCTTGAGATTCTTGGGTTTTTTATTCTCTTGAGTTTTTTTTTTCAAAAGTCATAAGGTTGTCAAAATTCTAGAGCTTTTTGATTTTCTTGACATTTTGAAGATGTGAGCCTTTTAAGATTTTCGAGTTTTTTGATATTCTTGTGTTTCTCAAGATTCTTGAGATTTTAGGGTTTTTTATTCCCTGGAGTTTTTTTTTAAGAGTCATGAAATTCTTGAAACTTATGAGTTAATCAACGCCTAAACAAGTATTGTTTTCGAAACTTCACTCATCATGTAATAATTGTGTTTGAAGAACTTCATGTAATTAAAATTAACATACATTCATTGACTGATGGTATTTTTTTCACGTTTTCGCTGTCGATACAGTTTCATTCTTTGAGCAGCAGTAATATCTGTCTTGCCTAAAAAATATTTTCCATTTTAATAACTTCAAAGATTTATAGAAACTACGAATAATATAGAAATAATTTCTAATCAATAAACTTACGTTAAGTACACGGCACAAATGTTTAGTTTGTTTTAATATTTTCAAGAAGCGGGGTAAAATATTTTTTTGATTCAGGCATTTTTCATTAAATCAAGATTTGTACTACGATGTAACTTTAAAATATTTATTTATATATACATGTTGATATTGGTACGCATAAAACGACATAACTCTATTCACATACACGACGACTAATCACAATCGACCCGTATAGAAATGATTTAATCGAGAGCGAATGACTCTCACTTGACCTTGCCGTAACAATTTTCGTTGCATTTGTACGGATTTACACCCTAGTCGCGCCTAAAGATTTTTTTTTTCAATAAATGATGGTAACGATATCCTATGATAGTTATTTCAATTACTTTTTCTAGGTGAATTACATGAACGGTAAAATGATCGAGCATCCCCAATCCCAAGTCTACAAGGCGATTTTGAACAGTTGTACAGTAGTTCGTGCAATTTTGCAATGTGTCAATAATGAGGGTAATGTGTTGGAGACGACGCAAGTCGTTTATAATAATTCAATGGGACAAACTGGTATCGAGAAGCTGAATAATGCTTGGCAGCAATTGCAAGCTAGTGTGGATCATCTAATGGACGTCGAGATGAATAAGATTACTGGGAGTGTTGATGGTCAGGGACTGAAACAGGTAAGTGATAATATATATATATATATATATATATATATATATATTAAAATGTATTTGAATGAAACACACTTTTCTTTATGTTTTCTTGAAAAAAATCCGATTCCGAGCTATTTATATATTTTCTCGGCGTTACGAGTCACTCTGAAGAGCTTGAGACCTAATTTGGATTAAAAGTATGTGTGTGTGTATGCAAGACGATTTTTTACCTTCCGTCGACGTTTTCTTAAAAACGGCTGAACCGATTACAAAAATTTAAAAGCCATTTGATGTAACTCGATGAAGACTAGCGTTAGTCAGTTTTGCTCGACGATCGGCAGAGCCGTTTCTTCGTAATTAGCAGAAAAGTGTAAAATTGTTGGTTTAAGTTTTAGCCAAAAATCATGATTTGATTTTTGAAGTACAAGCGTTTCTCACGTTTTAGAAACACGCGTATTTATTTTTACCTAATTTGAAAATAAAAAACTCAAAATTCTAAATAAATAACGTCTTTTGTTCCAGTTTCATTCATGAGTTTCTTGAAAGTAATATTCTTTATATATCATGACTGATATCTCGAGATGCTTAAATCTTGATTTTCTTGATTAATAAATTCCCAAAAATTCTCGAGTTTCTGAAAATCGTTGAGTTTCTGAATATTCTACAGTTGTTTTTTATTGAGATCTTGGAGATTTTCGGGTTTTGGATTTTCGAGTTTTTTTTAAGTCATAGGATTTTTAAAATTGTTGAGCTTTTTAATTTTCTCAGCATTCTAGATTTTCTCGATGTTCTTGACATTCTGAAGCTTTGAGATTTTTTAAGATTCGAGTTTTTGTGATATTCTTGAGTTTCTGAAGATTCTTGAGTTTTTTTTTTAAGAGTCAGGAGATTCTCGAAATTCTTGACCTATTTGAATTTCTTAGCATTCTGAAGATTTTTGAGATTTTTAAGATTCTCGAGTTTTTTGAGAATCTTACGATTCTTGAGTTTCTGAAGATTCTCAAAATTCTCGAGTTTCTGAAGTTCCTTGAGAGTCTCTTGATTTTTTGATTCTCGTGACTTTTTTTTGAAATTCATGATATCCTTGATGTATCAAGATTGATCTCTTGTTGAGATCCTTAATTTATTGAGGATTCGTGGGTTTTGACGGGTGATTATTTAATTTTCTTGAGATTATTCATTTCCTAAAGATTCTTGAGTTTCTAAATATTCTTCACTTTTTTTTTTAATTCTTCAGATTTTTGGTTTTTGATTAATTGGGTTTTTTTGAGAGTCATGAGATTCACAAAATTCTTGAGATTTTCCATTTTCGGAGATTCTTGAGATTCTCAAAATTCTTAGTTTCTGAAGTTTCCTGAGATTCTTGGGTTTTGATTCCCTTGAGTTTCAAGATCATGAGATTCTTAAAATTTTTAGCTATTTGAGTTTCTTGGCTTTCTTGAAGTTAGTAATTTTAAGATTGATATTTTGATATTCTTGAGTTTTTGAGAGTTAAGTATTTGAATTTTTTTCTCATGATTTTCTTGAGGTCATTAAGCTTCTAAAGATTCTTGAGTTTTTTGAGGATTCTCAAGTTCGTTTTTAAAATGCCTGGGGTTTTGATTTCATTGTTTTTTTTTTTTAAAGTCATGAGATTCTCAAAACTCTTGAGCTATTTGAATTTCTTGACTTTCATGAAATTCGATTCTCGAGTCTTTGACGCTTGATTATTTGACTTTATTAAGATTATTGAGTTTCTAAATATTATTCAGTTTTTTTAGGATTATTGGGTTTTTGATTCACTTGATTTTTTTTTTAAATGTATCAGATTCTAGAAATTCTTGAGCTATTAAAATTACTTGACATTCTCTATATTCTTGAGTTTCTGAAGATTCTTGATATTCTCGAGGTTCTTAAGTTTTTTCGAGGATTTTTGATTTTTCGTTTTCTTGAGATTTGAGATTCTTGAGCTATTTGAGTTTTTTTTTTTGAGTTGATATTCTTGAGTTTCCGAAGATTCTTGATTTTTTTTTGAGAAATTTCGAACTTTCGAGGATAAAAATAAAAATTTCTGATTGCTCGTCAGTAAAGATCTTTTTTAACAAAACAGACGAGGGTAGAGTTTTTTACATACTAAAAATTTCCGAAATTAGCTCGTTAGTAAAGTTCCTTTTTATTCTAAGAATAAAAAATGCCTGATTTTGCATATCAGTAGAGAATGAATGTAAAACGCCCCTCTTGTAAAATAATTTTTTTCGGGTGCAATTTCTATTTACACAGACAAGTATAATTGTATAAAACAATATAAAAGTATAATTCTTTTACAATTGTTTTACAAAATCAGCGTTCCGACAAATATTATAGGCCTACGAAAAGTCTTAGGATATAGAGAGACATGCTATGTAAAATATTTTTTTAGTCTTAAATACTGCATAACCATTTTTTGCAATTTTTTCTCCATATTTCCTAAACGGCTGGACCTGGCTTTGCCAAAAAATAATCAACAAGTCTACGCTTCAATAGAAACCGAATGTTTTTTGAATCATTCAAATCGGTTGATCCGTTCTTACGAAATCGTCGACGGAAGATTGTATCCGCACATACATACATACACACGCACACATTCATTCAAAGATTTTTAAGCGTAAAGACATGCAAAAATTGATATTTTTCAGATTATGGAAAAGAAAGAAGGTATTATCCGTATGCACATGATGGGAAAGCGTGTCAATTTCGCAGCCCGTTCCGTAATAACACCAGATCCGAATTTGAACATCGACGAAATCGGAGTACCCGAAGCATTCGCCAAGAAACTATCTTATCCAGTACCAGTAACGTCCTGGAACGTGACAGAACTGCGAAAAATGGTCATGAACGGCCCTAACGTCCATCCTGGTGCTGTCATGATAGAAAACGAGGACGGCTCTTTAATAAAAATACCGAGTGATGAAATCACTAAAAGGAAAGTATTGCTAAACGTCTCCTCACGCCTTCGGAGAGCGGAAAACAAGGGGTTAAGATAGTACATAGGCATTTGTGTAACGGTGATATTTTGTTGCTAAATCGGCAACCCACGTTGCACAAGCCGTCGATAATGGCGCACAAGGCCAGGATTTTACCAGGAGAGAAGACTTTGAGACTCCATTACGCCAATTGCAAGGCGTACAACGCTGATTTTGACGGTGACGAGATGAACGCACATTTTCCCCAAAACGAACTGGCCAGAAGCGAAGGCTACAACATTGTAAACGTTTGCAACCAGTACCTGGTGCCTAAAGACGGAACACCCCTCAGTGGTCTCATCCAGGACCACATGATAGCCGGGGTAAGACTATCCATGCGCGGTAGATTTTTCACCAAAGAAGATTACCACATGCTTGTCTATAGCGCTCTGGTCCACATCCAAGGCGACATCAAACTTCTACCACCAGCCATACTCAAACCAGTAAAACTTTGGTCAGGGAAACAAGTTATATCGACTTTGATAATAAACCATATACCCAAAAAGGCTATTGCTTTGACCCTGAATTCTACTGCTAAAATTCCTGCAAATGCCTGGCAGCTGGAGACACCAAGACCGTGGTTGGCTGGTGGTACCCAATTTAAAAATTCTAATGAGATGACCGAGGCTGAAGTGGTGATACAGAAGGGGCAGTTGCTGTGCGGGGTTTTGGATAAGACACATTATGGAGCTACGCCTTATGGACTGATTCATTGCATGTACGAGGTAAGGGAAGAAATGACAAAAAAGATCTATTTAAGGGCTAAAATAGTTCTGTTATGGTACCAGTTGCAAACTGTCCAAAAACAATGTCTTTGTCGTAATATGTTCTAATGCTTGTACCATTTGGAGGTTAGGATTTAGGCCGGTAACATAACAGAACTATTTTATTACTACTTTGACTTCTATAAATTTGTATATATATATATATATATATATATATAAATATATTAGGGTGGTCCTTAATATGGACATTTTCGAATTTCCTTGCTCCCAAGGGCTCAAATGGTTCCAAATTGATAAAAAACAATTTTCTGAAAGTTTTAGCTCTTAATATTTACTTTTAGATAGTGCGCAATTTTTTATGCTATTTTCATACAAAATTTTGATTGAATTGCGGACTATCTAAATGTTGATATTAAGAGCTAACACTTACAGAGAATTGCTTTTTATCCATTTGAGCCCTTGGGAGCAAAGAAATTCAAAAATGTCCATATTAAGGACCACTCTAATATAATATATTTTAACTTATTAATTTGCTAAATGATGACACAAATGCGATGTCGAAATATAAACATTAAATAGTTGAAATATTTATTTATTATTTTTTCCGACAATTTGGCAAGAAATTACTCTAAATGCCTAGATAGTCTAAAGAAGTTTTACTTCAAAAATTTAAGTAGTACTTTTTATGGCATGTGGGGTATCGTTTGAAAGGTCTCGACGAGTAGAAAACGATTTTCCCAAAAAAGATGATTATATTGTAATAACAACGTAATATTTTATTGCATAAAGTATTACATTATTAAAATTTATAGATTTTTTTTTAAATATGTGAGGTATAAAACTATTGTAGCCAATACTAAAATTAACTAGGTCATTTGTCCACAAAATACATAGTCGTTTAATGAATTTCTAGTAAACGAGCTCAAAGAAGTTTTACTTCAAAAAATTTAGATTGAATTTTTATGGCATGTGGGGTATCGTTTGAAAGGTCTCGACGAGTAGAAAACGATTTTTAAATAAATATAAAAATAATATCACAATAAAAAAATAAAATAAAGAATAAAAAAAATATCACAAGCATTATATATTATCATAATTATATCGCAAACAATATTAGAATGTCAAATTTTATTGCAAAACTGTTTAAAACTTGTAACGTGCATAACTTTTGAGCAAATACTAAAATTAACTAGGTCATTTGTCCACAAAATACAGTCTTTTAATGAATTTCTAGTAAACGAGCTTAAAGAAGTTTTACTTCAAAAATATGAGATTATATCTTTTATGGCATGTGGGGTATCGTTTGAAAGGTCTCGACGAGTAGAAAACGATTTTGACTACTAAAAATAAAAAAATATATTAGGGTGGTCCTTAATATGGATTTTTTCGAATTTCTTTGCTCCCAAGGGCTCAACTGCTTCCAAATTAATAAAAAAAAATCTCTAAAAGTTTTAGCTCTTAATATTAACATTTAGATAGTCCGCAATTCAATTAAAAATTTCGTATATATTTTTTAACGTAAATTATTAACTAAATTCTTGCGCCATCTGCGATGCACAAACAAGGATTTTTTTTTTTTGACTTTTTTTCAAATCTTATCAACTATGTTAATCATTTATCAAATTCTGCTTACCCAATTCGGTTTTTCTTTATAGCTTTATGGTGGTTCCTGGTCGAACAAGCTCCTAAGTTCTTTTGCCAAATTGTTCACCAGTTTTCTGCAAAGAGAAGGATTCACATTAGGAGTGCATGATATTCTTGTCCAAAAATCAGCAGATGAAAAAAGAGCAAAAATTATCGCAGAAACCAGAAAGGTAATAACATGCATATAATATATATATATATTTAAGTGTATAAGGATGTGTTGTTTGATTGCTCTCTATACAATGAGGTATTATAAAAACAATAGACCCCATTAGTTTGTCTATATTTTGTCAATACAATGAAATCAAAAATATGAACTATATTGTGAAAACCATAACAATTTTATCACAACAAATAACACATATCAAACGAACAGTTATCTGACAACGTTCAGTAAAACTGTCAGCTACTTCATCATTGTAGAAATGTGCTTTTTTGATGTCTTTCAAAAATTTGTCATAAGCGCAATACTTGACGTAGATGCTATAGCATTCACGATTTAAATATGATAATGTGACTACGGCAACTTTTAAAGGGCGCCAACTTTTTCCTTTTTCCATAGTTGCGTAAAATAGATGCGCAATATTTGTCGTGGATGCTATAACATTCATCTAGAATACGACGATTGAAATATGGTATTCTGACTACTAAAACTTTTATTGGGAGCAAACGTGTTAAAATGCAAGATTATTCTTCAGCTGAAACTGATTTTTTTTTTATAGTCACTAATTTAACGTGGATGCTATAGCATTCATCTAGTATATAACGATCAAAATACGATAAATACGACTACTCAAACTTTTATTGGGCGCGAACGTATTAAAATGCAAGATCACTTTTCAGTTGAAACTGATTTTTTTTTCATAGTTTCTAACTTAACGTGGATGCTATAGCATTCATCCAGTATATAACGATCAAAATACAATAATTCGATTGCTCTAACTTTTATTGGGCGCGAACGTGTTAACGTGCAAAATTATTTTTCAGTTGAAACTGCATCATTTTCCATAGTCTCTAACTTAACGTGGATGCTATAGCATTCATCTAGTATATAACTATCAAAATACAATAATTCGATTCGACTCTAACTTTTATTGGGCGCGAACGTGTTAACGTGCAAAATTATTTTTCAGTTGAAACTGCATCATTTTCCATAGTCTCTAACTTAACGTGGATGCTATAGCATTCATCTAGTATATAACTATCAAAATACAATAATTCGATTCGACTCTAACTTTTATTGGGCGCGAACGTGTTAACGTGCAAGATTACTCTTCAGTTAAAACTGTTTTTTTTTTCATAGTCACTAATTTAACGTGGATGCTATAGCATTCATCTAGTATATAACGATCAAAATACAATAATTCGATTACTCTAACTTTTATTGGGCGCGAACGTGTTAACGTGCAAGATTATTTTTCAGTTGAAACTGCATCATTTTCCATAGTCAATAATTTGACGTAGATGCTATAGCCAACATCCAGTAAAACCATTAAAATATGGTTTATGATTTAGAACTTTTTACCCCTTAGACGGGGTAACTTGGAACGGCCAAGTGGCAAACTGGTTTAATGTCTTATTTTAATTTTAAAGGTATTTGACAAAATAATTACACTTTTAACTAATGCTAAAAAACTACCAACGGAAGAAAATACTTTTAATATGGATTTTCAAAGATTACCATTTATCTCCACCATGTCAAAGATTATTATTATTATTATTATTATTATTATCTATCTAAAAAAAAAAAATTCAAAGATTACTCTTTTCAAATCAAGGTTTTAGCTGGTCATACATCTTGTTCCCTCTACTTTCAAATATTATTGTTAAACAATGCTCAACTTTGCTGGTTTTTGACACATCGGTGGTGGACCTTTTTAACCCCGGACCTTCATATATTACTATCTATTCTTCGATAAATTCTGGGAAATTACAACTGGGAAAATGTCCATTTGATCTATACCAAATTTAGGTTCTGAATTGAAATAACATAAATAAAAAAAAGTATGACCTAGAAAATGTTTTATAAATGCCAATGAGTATATAATTATACAAATGAGATCTTTCAGAGCACCGTGTTTGCGAAAAATATGCCAAAAAGTGCATTTTCATATTAACATTTCAAAAAAGTTGATATTTTGATAATAACGTTTTCATAATTTTCACTGACTTCAACTTATTTTTACAGGTTGGTCCTAAAGCAAGTGCAGAAGCTGTTAACCTAACAGAAGAAGCCGATGCTGAAGAAGTAACTGAGGCTGTGGAGTTGGCACATAGTACAAATCCCAAATTCCGGGCAATCATTGACAGAAAATACAAAGAAGCCTTAAATAACTATACCAACAGAATAAACAAGTAAGTCTCATATAAATCATCAATCCATTTAGAAAATGAAAATTTTTGCATTTCTCGACGTTCTGAAGGTTTCTGAACATTTTACTGGCATACCTCAGAAAAAATAGATGTGTGTGAAAAAATTAAAAAAAATTACCCAGGCTAAGCACAGTCTAAGCGCCACTCTGGTACAAATATTTACTCAAGTACGTTTAGACTGTTTATGTGATGGGGCACTTGTCCAATTTTATGTGAAAACTATTGAAAAATGTGAAAATGCCGCCAAGCTGATCACAGTATAAGTGAAAATGTCGCACAGAATTATTTGCAAATGCGTTTAGACTGTGACTGTACGCACTTTTTCAATTTTGTGTAAATTAGGAAACTATTTTTTTTTTTTGAAATTGAATTCGAAATGAAATGACAATTGTTAATGTTCTGAAGATTGATTAATTGATTTATGATTCACATTTGATTATTTGCTCAGATATAACACACAAGATAGCAAAAATAATGAAAGCTACAGTAATTGTAATAATATATTTGAAAACGTTTTCTCAAAAAAAATTTCTCAAAAATGGCATAATAATTTAATTTAAACAATGACAAATATAATTTCTTAAAAAATGACAAATATTTAATCTAAAAAATGACTCAAAATTGGTATAAATATTTCATTTAGAAAATGACAAATATAATTTCTCAAAAAATGGCATAAGTGTGATTTCTCAAAAATGGCATAAATATTTAATTTAAAAAATGACAAATATAATTTCTCAAAAAATGGCACAAATATAATTTTTCAAAAACGACATAAGTATAATTTTTAAAAAGTGGCATGAATGTAAATTTTCAAAAAATTGCATAAATAGCATTACTGAAAAATGGCATAAATAGCATTACTGAAAAATGGCATAAATATAGTTTCTCAAAAATAGCATAAATATTTAATCTAAAAAATGACGAATGTAATTTCTAAAAAATTGCATAAATATAATTTTTCAAAAACGACATATGTATAATTTTTAAAAAGTGCGATAAATATATTTTCTCAAAAATGAAATAAATATTAAATTTCTTTGAAAATGGCATAAACAAAATTTCTCAAAATAATAATATATTTATGCCAAAAAAGACAAATAAAATTTCTCAAAAAATTACATAAAATTTTTCAAAATATGGCACAGATAAAATTTCTCAAAAAAACGTATTCAAAAAATTTTCAATTTTATGTTAATTATAAAAATGTAATTTTGGGTTGAAAATTTAGAAAATCACCCAGGCTAAGCTCAGTCTAAGCGTCACTCTGGTACAAATGTTTACTCAAGTGCGTTTAGACTGTTTACGTGCTGGAGAACTTTTCCAATTTTGTGTAAACTATTGAAAAATGTGAAAATGCCGCCAAGCTAAGCACAGTATAGGTGAAAATGACGCACAGAATTATTTGCAAATGCGTTTAGACTGTGACTATACGGGAGCACTTTTTAAATTTTGTGCAAATAAGGCAACTATTTTTTTTTTGAAATTGAATTCGAAATGAAATGACGATAGGAGATAAATTGATTTATGATTTATATTTGATTTGCTCAGATGTAACAAGATAGCAAAAATAATGAAAGTTACAGCATTTGTTGTAATAATACATTTGAAAACGTTTAAAATTTCTAGAATATTTCATTACGGTACGGGAAGTTCCAGCAATTTGCCTTAAGGCACGACTCATAATTATACTTTTGTATCCTTTACCCCCCAGGACTTGTTTACCAGCCGGTTTGCTATGCAAGTTCCCCTACAATAATTTGCAACTGATGGTCCAGTCGGGTGCAAAAGGTTCCACGGTCAACACTATGCAGATCTCTTGTCTTTTGGGCCAGATTGAATTGGAGGGTAAAAGGCCACCTGTTATGATCTCAGGGAAGTCTTTGCCCAGTTTTCCTGCTTATGAGCCTTCACCAAGGGCCGGTGGATTTATTGATGGCCGATTCATGACAGGGATTCAACCGCAGGAGTTTTTCTTCCATTGCATGGCTGGCCGTGAGGTAACAATAAATGATTATAATAATAGAAGTAGAAAGAATAATAAAAATTTTGGAATTTTGACGTTTCCAAGGACTTATATGGTTCCTAATTGATAAAAGAAAATTCTCTGAAAGTTTTAGCTCTTAATATTAATATTTAGATAGTCCGCGATTCGATTAAAAATTTCGAAAATAAAATTTGACACATATACTATATATATATGTGTATTATATATAATTTGATACATATTGTATGCGATATATTTATGATAATATATAAAGCTTGTGTTTTTACAAAAATCGTTTTCTACTCGTCGAGACCTTTCAAACGATACCCCACATGCCATAAAAAATACAATCTAAATTTTTTGAAGTAAAACTTCTTTAAGCTCGTTTACTAGAAACTCATTAAAAGACTGTATTTTGTGGACAAATGACCTAGTTAATTTCAGTATTCGCTACAAAAGTTTTGCACGTTACATGTTTTAAACAGTTTTTCAATAAAATTTGACATTCTAATATTGTTTGTGATATAATTATGATAGTCTATACTTGTGTTTTTTTAAAAATCGTTTTCTACTCGTCGAGACCTTTCAAACGATACCCCACATGCCATAAAAGATACAATCTAAATTTTTTGAAGTAAAACTTCTTTAAGCTCGTTTACTAGAAATTCATTAAAAGACTGTTTAAAAAAGTTTTAATTGAATCGCGGACTATCTAAACGTTTATATTAAGAGCTAAAACTGTGGTAGGAGGGTGAAAATTTAGGACTAAAATATTTTTTTTACCCTAGGGTCTGATTGATACCGCCGTCAAAACCAGTAGATCAGGTTATCTCCAAAGATGTTTGATCAAACATTTGGAGGGCTTGACAGTTAAATATGACCTGACAGTCCGCGACAGTGACAATAGTGTGATTCAAGTAAGTACTTGCATAAAAAAAATTATAGTAGTATTATTTATATATTTTTTTTTCATTTATTCATTTTGAATCGTGTATTCGTGTATTCAGTTGTGTTAATTTTTTTTTTTCAAATGTTTGTATGTAAAAAATAAAAATAATGGGCCTTAGAACTGTTCCTTGAGATACTACACATTTGACAAATTTTTAATTAATTTTTAATTTTCGTTTTTCTGATAAGAATTTCTGTATCTTTCAAGTCATTCTGAATCGTTTGGCACCAAAATTTATATAACTCTGCGTATTTAGTTGTGCTATTTTGTTTTTTTTTTAAATTGTTTATATATTTATAAATATAATAATGAGCCTTAGAACTGTTCTTTGAGGTACTCCACGTTTGATAGATTTTTAATCAATTTTGAATTTTTAACAATGTGATTCAAGTAAGTGCTTGCATAAGATTTTGTTATAGTAGTATTATCTATATATTAATTTTTTTATTTAGTCATTTTGAATCGTTTGGCACCAAAATTTATATAGCTCTGTGTATTCAGTTGTGCTAAATTTTTTTTTTATGTTTGTATATAAAAAATAATAATAATGAGCCTTAGAACTGTTCCTTGAGGTACTCCACATTTGATAGATTTTTAATCAATTTTTAATTTTTGTTTTTCGCTTTTTCTGATAAGAATTTCTGTATCTTTCAAGTCATTCTGAATCGTTTGGTACCAAAATTTATATAACTCTGCGTATTTAGTTGTGCTATTTTGTTTTTTTTTTTTAAATTGTTTATTATAAAAATATCATAACGGGCCTTAGAACTGTTCCTTGAGGTACTCCACATTTGATAAATTTTTAATCAATTTTTAAGTGTGATTCAAGTGAGTACTTGCATAAGATTTTTCATAGTTATATTATTTATATATTAATTTTTTTTCTGCAGTTTTTGTATGGGGAAGATGGAATGGATATTTCCAAAGTTCAATTTTTGAACAAAAAGCTAATTCCATTTTTGAATGATAATTCTGATGTCATCTTGAACAAGAAAATTGTTGAAAAGTTCAATGAAGAAGGTGTTCCTGAAGATTTGACACAAACTATTAAACAGGTAAGTGTTATAATAAATTTATGTCGTACTAAATTTACAAGGAGTACCACCGGTTTATTTTTCTTTAATTTTGATGAAGCTTTGCACAGTGATAGGGTTGATAGTCAAATGTAATAGTAAAATATTATAGGCCTGTGAGCAGTGGTTGGATTATAAAAATTAATTGAAGTTTTGAAAAAGTAGAAGCAAGTGCTTAAACTGACTGAGCTACCGAGACTATTACCGCGGTCTGTTTAGCAAAACTTTAATTTTTATACTCTAACCACTTCTCATAGGCCTATAATATTTTACACCATTCCTTTTGACTATCAGCTCTATCACCATGCAAAGTTTCATCAAAATTCTAGAAGAGTAAACCTGAGGTTCTCCTTGTTATTTATTATAAAGTTGACAAAGGAGAAGTTTATTTTTGTCTAATTTTATGTTTCAAGTCATTTTGCATCATTTGGCACTAAAATTGTAAAATTCTGTGTTAATGTAGTTTTTTTTTAATTGTTTGTATATAAAAAATATAATAATGGGCCTTAGAACTGTTTCTTGAGGTACACCACATTTGATAATTTTATAAACAATTTTTAATTTTCTTTCTTACACTTTTTCTGATAAGAATTTTTGTATTATGTTTCCAGGAGTACTAGAAAGTTTTTTTTGTGTAATTCTAAGTTTCATGTCATTCTGAATCTTTTGGCACCATAATTTATATAATTCTGTGTATTTAGTTGAGCTTATTTACATTTCCTTTAAATTGTTTATATATAAAAAAATTATGATAAGGGGCCTTTTGATTGTTCCTTTAGGTACTCCACATTTGATTGTGTTTTAGAAATTGGCTTTTTTGATAAAAATGTTTGAGATTTTTGAGAATTTTGAAATTTTTAGAAATTGACTTTTTCGATAAAAATGTTTGAGAATTTTGGAATTTTTAGAAATTGACTTTTTTGATAAAAATGTTTTTTGGGATTTTTGAAATTTTCAGAAATTGACTTTATTGATCAAAATGTTTGAGATTTTTGAGAATTTTGAAATTTTTAGAAATTGACTTTTTTGATAAATTTTTTTTTGAGATCTTGGAGAATTTTGAAATTTTCAGAAATTGTCTTTTTTGATCAAAATGTTTTTTGAGAATTTTGAAACTTTTACAAATTGACTTTTTTGATAAAAATGTTTTTTGAGATTTTTGAAAATTTTGAATTTTGTAGAAGTTGACTTTTTTTAAAAAATGTTATTTTTATTTTGAAATGTTTTGGAACTTTTTTTCACTCGTTGCTTAGAGACGAAATATAGAAGCGCGTACGCGCCGCGTCGCGGTTTAACAAAAAACAATGATTCGAAAATGTATACTCAATATAAAAATCTCTATAAAATATCTGACAATTTGATGTGCATATATCTAATGATCATTTTTAACCTTCAAACGGCATTTTTTGGACTGTTTTTAATCGATCTCCAAAACCGCTAGATCTGCCTTCTTAAAAATTTAATAAACTCTACATTTGGTCAATACAAGTGAAATGTTTTTTGAATCATTGAAATCGGGCGCTCCGTTCTCTCAAAAACTGAATCAACATTTTAGGCACTTTTTGCCTCGTGTCTCCGGAACGAGTTGTCCTGCCTTTGGTAAAAAGTAATCGACACATTTCTGCATCAATAGGAATCGAATGATTTTTGAATCACTGAAATCGGTTGAACCGTGTTTTTGTAATCGTCGGGGAAAATTTGTATCCGCACACAAACACATACATACGCACACACACACACATACACATACATCATTTTTTTCTGAAGTATGCCAAAGTGTTCAGAAACCTTTGAAACCTAAAAATATACAAAAAATTCTATTTTTTGCGTTTACTATAAAGGCTGGACTTGCCTTTGGTAAAAAGTAATCGACACATCTCATGTATAGAAATCGAATATCAATCAAATCGCCAAACAATAATTTCAAATATTATCAATGTCAAACAATGAAAAGCGGTTTTTTGTATTTTTTTTAATTCATTTCTACAATCTAGCTATATTTTTTTAAATCACAACACCCTAAAAAAATCCCTTGAGAAAGTTCATGAAGATTTATCAAAATCCGAATATTCGTTTAGGAGGAGTATCATTACGAAATATAGAAGCGCGTACGCGCCGAAACACTATTTTAAAACAATTCTTTAATTTAAAATGTATACTCAATATAAAAATCTTTATAAAATATCTGACAATTTAATGTGATGTAATGATCATTTTTAAGAAGAATTTGATGATTTGTTATTATGATATTTTATGATATGTTAGTGCTTTTGAAATCGTCAGGGAAAATTTGTATCCGCACACACACACACATACAAACACACAGATACGTTGATTTTTTCTGAAGTATGCCAAAGTGTTCAGAAACCTCTGAAACGTAAAAATGTGCAAAAAAAATTATTTTCGGTTGTTTTGCGATTACTATATCTTATTCTACGGAAAGTTTTTTTTTTTAATTTCAATAATTATTACAACTGCTAAATTATTAACATCAAGTAATATTGATAAATAATGACATAAATTTAAATAAATAAAAGTGCAAAGGATAAAATTTACATGAAAATAATATCCGTAATATGATTTGATATAAAATATAAGCAAATAATAATAAAATTAAAATTAATAAATAATATAAATAAAATATCTGAATAATAAAATAATACTAGAAAAATAACAAAATATAACAAAATAACAATAATAGAAATAGTAAGATAATAATAATAATAATAATAATAATAATAATAATAATAATAATAATTTATAAGATCATTTGGAATTTTTCGTTTTAGCCTTGTTGGGCGCGCTTCTGAGTATACTTTGTTTGCCAAGTAATTTGGGTGCTCGTCTATTCTTTTTTTGTAGTTGCTTGTTTTTTGTTGAATTTCTTCATTTACTGTCATTATGTTGCTGTCCTGGTGAATCAACCAGTTGGAAAAAATTCTACGGAAAGTTAAAAGTGTTATCCTATCCACTTACACCTAGTTCCTTTACCTTTTAGTTAAAACGTTGGAAGCGCAAATACGGCGATCCCTTACAAAAAGACAGAACAAGTCCATTCGCGCAGTACTCCAGAAAATATTTGCCGGAAAAAGACAGCATCGAGTCGGCCCAAAAAAAATCCAAAATGACCGGCAGAACCCGGTTGACCAAAAAGGTCATCAAAATGTGGCGTGCGATCCCTAAAGAAGAAAAAGAAAAATTGAAAGCCAAGTTGAAAAACATGTGTCCGGATCCCCTGATCTCAAAATACCAACCCGATCACTACTTTGGGGTAATAAACGAAAATTTGGAGAACTTGATGAAGGATTATTTGGATAAACAGAATGTTAAGGAGGATTTTGAGGATATGATCAAGTATAAAGCGATGACCACTTTATGTGAACCCGGTGAACCCGTAGGCCTCCTAGCAGCCCAGTCTGTGGGCGAACCGTCTACTCAAATGACCCTTAACACTTTCCATTTTGCTGGCAGAGGTGAAATGAACGTCACTTTGGGTATTCCTCGTCTCAAAGAAATCTTAATGACTGCCAGTAAAGACATCAAAACCCCTTGCATGGATATCCCTTTCAGAGAAAATGTAGCCAAACATTTTTCCGAAACCGAACGCCTCAGGAAGAGGTTGGTGAGGGTTACGATTGCCGAAGTTTTGAAGAAGGTCCAAGTGCATCGGATAGTCACCGGTGCGAGGAATAAAATGCACAAGTATTCGGTAAAGTTTGAGTTTTTGCCTCATGGTGCTTATAAGAACGATTTTTGTGTGAAACCGAAGGGGATCATGAAGTTTATGGAGCAGAAGTATTGTCCTTCGCTGATGAGGGCGATTGTGAAGTCTTCTAATAGCAAACAAATGTAAGTAGAAAAAATTTAGTAATTTTTGCTAAAAAATAATTTACTAGAGTCTAGAAAACATTTACTGAAATCTTGTTGTGCGAAATTTTGTATAAACTTGTTGGAACATTTATTTTCTGGTACAAGGACATTTTTTTATATTTCTTCAAATATTTTTTAATTTTATTCTAGGACATTATAATTACACCTAAGTCTGTTTTTACACGGTAGATTGGTTCCAGAAAAAGCCGTGTAAAAAAGAACGTGTAAAAAAAGATATTGTTCTTATAAAAAAATGGGTGATTTGTTCCTAATCTCTAAAACCTATTGAAATTGGTGAAAAACAAGAATTTTTAAGAACAAGAATTCATGTTTATTTTATTAAATCAAATATATAATGCTTATTTTCACAAGCATAGAAATTAATATGCACTCTAATCTTCAAAGTAATATAAATTAAATGTATAACAAGTTCAGGAACTAAAAAACTATGTTGTGAACGAAAAGAATAAGTTATTCAATTTTTAAGGTAAAAAATAAAACTTCGTAAAAATACTTTTTTGTGATATGAACATACTTCGCAAAAAATAAATTTGACAAAAACAATTTAAGTACATACATACAATTTCAAATCGTGCTAAATGGAACAAAGTCGTGTAAAAAAATTAAAAATATTCAATTTTCAAACCGTGTTATATCAAAACCGTGTACAAAAAGACCGTGTAAAAACAGACTTAGGTGTAGTTTACATTAGTTAAAACTTGATAAAATTTACTAAAATCTAGTAAAACATGTTCTGTACACATGCATATTGAAATTTTGAATAATTCGTAATTGAAATGCGGACTTTAGTATTTTCATAATTTGTATTGCATATATCAATTTAGGATATTTTTTTACGTTTCTTCAAATAACTTTTGATTTTCTTTTATGACATCATAATTTGTTTACATTAGCGAAAACTAGATAAAATTTATTAAAGTTTAGTAAAAATTGTTTTATACTCTTGGATATTGAATTTTGACTAATTCGTACTTCAATGACATTTTTTCCTTTTCTAACAATACTTAAGATTTTCTTGGATGAATCTTTCTTGGTAATTTGTATGAAATTTTTGGATGATTGGACATTTTTTTTATATTTCTTCAAATATTTTTTAATTTTATTCTAGGACATTATAATTTGTATACATTAGTAAAAACTAGATAAAATTTACTAAAATCTAGTAAAAACTGTTGTATACACTTGTATATTAAAATTTTGACTAATTCGTATTTTAAAGACATTTTTTTACTTTCCCAGCAATACTTAAGACTTTTTTGGATGAATCTTTCTTGGTAATTTGTATGAAATTTTTGGGTGATTGGACATTTTTTTTATATTTCTTTGATTTGATTATTTGATTTTCTTTTATGACATTATAACTTGTGTACATTAGTAAAAACTACATAAAATTTACTAAAATCTAGTAAAAATTATTGTATACACTTCGGTACTGAAATTTTGACTAATTTCAGTATCAAATTTGACTACGTAGTTTTTACTAATATATATAAAACATAAAAGTCGGAACAAAAATTTCAAGATATTCAAAAAAATGTAAAAAATTGTCCAAAATTTACATATTGCTTAACAGTATCAGAACAATGTTCCAATAAATTGCTCGCAAAATTATATAGAACATTTTTTACTAGATTTTAGTAAATATTATAACTATAACTAAATAACTAAAACGACTAAATTTTTTTAGTCGTTTGAAGAAATTAAAGAAAAATTCCTTGCTAGTCAGTAGAGTTCATTTTTTCTATTTGATGTCTTGTAATTCAATTTGATGGTCAGTAGAGTCCTTTTTCTATTTAATGTCTTGTATTTCAGTTTGATAGTCAGTAGAGTCCATTTTCTATTTAATGTCTTGTAATCAATTTGATAGTCAGTAGAGTCCCTTTTTTATTTCACGTTTTTAGTTTCAGTTGCTTGTCAGTAGAGTCCTTTTTAATTTTACTCGTATTTTAATATATTATTAACAGTCTTAATCTAAATAAAAAAAAACTTTCAGAGAACTATTTCAAAGTCATAAGTTAGGGTAAATATACCCGCAAAAATCCTCGTAACGGGTATTTGTAACGGCCCTCCTTATAGCGTTCTATTATCTATTAAATTCTTTTATCTATTAAATTCTATTATCTTTTATCCCTTAGGTTAATTGTGGACGAAAAACAAAAATCCAAAAGAAATAAAAAAGACAATGATGATGAAAATGAAGACAAGGCTGCGAAGAAATCAGGGTACAAGACTTTTGGAGAAGACTATGCTACGTCTGATGAAGATGAGGGACTTGTAAGTTAATAAAAAAAACTCTGATGAAATTTAAAAGTAGTGTGTTAATTAATTGTTTTTTTTTCTAGGGTGATGATGAAGATGCGACAAACGCTCGAAAAAGATCTAGGAAGAAGGATGATCAGGAATACGATGTGTCTGAAGATGAACAGAATGATGTTACGTCAGAAGGTAAGGGTATTGGTGAGATTTTTATTTATTTGAGGTTATGAAATTTTTATAATTTTTTTTTTGTTGCAGATGATATGGATGAAGATTCAAATGAATCCAAGAACTTGGAGAATGGTAATGATGCCGATGATGTCAAAACCGAAATGTGCGATGATGGTTTCAGTTTTGATGAGACGAACTTCTTGTGGTGCAAATATGTTTTCACGGTAAGTTAACCTTAAAATTGTTTCACATTTAAGTTATTTTATTTTTTAATGTTCTGGATAGTCTAGAAATGTTCTTGATAGCTTGAAAATGTTTTGGGTAGTTAGAAAATATTTTAGATAGTCTGAGGATGTTCTGGGCAGTAGGAAGTTCTTGATAGCCTGTAAAAGTCGTAGGTGGTCTGAAATATTTCTAGATAGTCTTAAAATGTTCTTTGTAGTCCTGAAAATGTTCTGGATAGTTTAGAAATGTTCTAGATAGTTGTGAATTGCTCGAACTGGTCTGACTGAAATTATTCTAATCGAGATAGCCTAAAGTGTTTCAGACAGTCTAAAATGTCCCAGTAAGATTAAAGATGTTCCCAATCATCAAAAAATGTCCTGGATAATTTAAAAATATTCTTCAAATCTAAAAATTAGTCTAAAAATATTCTAAACAGTCGGAAAAACTTGCAAAACCTTTAAAAATCTTCTAGATAGTCTAAAAATATTCTGAACGATCTAAAAATTTTATAGAAAATCTGTCGATGTTGTAAATCGTCTGAAAATATTTAGACATTTTAAAAATGTTCTGAGAGAATCTGAAAATATTGCAAATTGCCTGAAAGTGTTCTAGACTGTCGCAACATATATTAGACTAAAAAAAAACATTATATAACAATTTTGAATAATGTTTAATAGTAATAAAGTAACACTCGTAAAAAGATATCTTCGCCATGATAGAATAAAGCTGTGTTGCTTTAATATTCTTTAATATCTATGAAAATGCTGAGAATTATCATGTTAAACAACGCCTTAAGAAATACTGTTCTCACAATTTCACTCATCATGTAATTGTATTTGAAGAACTTCAAGTAACTGAAATTAACATACATTCATTGACTGTTTGTATTTTTTACTTTTTCGCTGGCGATATAATCTCATTGTAATTGATTTATGATTTACATTTGATTTGCTCAGATATAACATAAGATAGCAAAATAATGAAAGTTACACTATTTGTAATAATATATTTGAAAACGTTTAAAATTTCTCGAATATTTTGTTACGGTGCGGGATGTTTAGCAATTTGCGTTAAGGCACTATGCCACTTTCAACTAGTTTTCTTCTTTATTTCTAGTTGGGCATGCATTACACAAAAGTAAATCTACCTGAAATCCTGAAAGGCCTTGCTGAAAAGCCGTCATTTGGGAAACACCGATATTAAACGAGCCATAACTTACCAGAACAACGACGGCGAACTTGTTCTTAAAACTGATGGCATCAATATTGTTGTAGTATAATAATAATAATAATAATAATAATAATATATTATTATATATATATATATATTGTGTGTGTATATATATAAATATCTCACCACCGCTCCCAGACCTTCACTACACTTGCTTTATAACCTTGATCAGTGCCCACAATGCACCGCTATTAATAACATTAAATATAGGAGGGTAATATGTGCTCCTTCAATTTTCGTTTGTTAATATAATACTATTTTATTATTTTACACAAATTTAGTGTTCAATCAATTTTACATCATAATTAATTGTTTCTGTTGTTTTCCGATTCGGTATGTATATTTCCTCCTTTTTTATATATTATATTATCATCAACTTTGTATTTATGTTATATGTTTTTTAGATTACTGAATGATGACACACATCAATGTCGAAACGTTTAAGGAATAAATATTTGTTATTTAATCTTTTTTTTTGAATATTAATTTATAAACTAAATGTTTATGCAATTTTAGGAAATGTTCAAATACAATGATCTACTAGATTTAAACAAATTATACTCAAACGACGTCCATTGCATCGCCCAAACTTCCGGCATTGAAGCCGCTAGCCGAGTGATAGTAAAGGTAAGGACCTGGCAAACTTTTTTTCTGTCTCTCCTAATAATTAATACTATAATTTGTTTTTGTAGGAGGTGCAAAACGTGTTTCAACGTTTACGAATCACTGTAGACCCTATACATTTATTACTGATCGCAGATTACATGACATACTACGGACTTTCCAACCCTTGAGCAGAACCGGGTTGGAAACATCGGTGTCACCTTTGCAGCAAATGAGTTATGAATCTTCATTGACGTTCTTGAACAAGCGCTACCATAAAAGGTAATAATTATATATATATATATATTATATATATATATATATATATATAGTAGCGAATACTAGGTCATTTGCCCACAAAATACAGTCTTTTAATGAATTTCTAGTAAGCGAGCTTAATGAAGTTTTACTTCAAGAAATTTAGATTGTATCTTTTATGGCATGTGGGGTGTCGTTTGAAAGGTCTCGACGAGTAGAAAACGATTTTTGTAAAACAAAACACAAGCATTATATATTATCATAATTATAATCGCAAAGAATATTAGAATATCAAATTTTATTGGAAAACTGTTAAAACATGTAACGTGCAAAACTTTCATAGCAAATACTGAAATTAACTAGGTCATTTGTCCACAAAATACAGTCTTTTAATGAATTTCTAGTAAACGAGCTTCAAGAAGTTTTACTTCAAAAATATTAGATTCTATCTTTTATGGCATGTGGGGTATCGTTTGAAAGGTCTCGACGAGTAGAAAACGATTTCCGAAAAAACATTTGTTTACAAAATACAGTCTTTTAATGAATTTTTAGTAAACGAGCATAAAGAAGTTTTACTTCAATAAAATTTAGGTTGTATCTTTTATGGCATGTGGGGTATCGTTTGAAAGGTCTCGTCGAGTAGAAAACGATTTTGGAAAACATATAAATATATATTAGGGTGGTCCTTAATATGGACACTTTCGATTTTATTATTAAGTAAATGCTTGTGCCATCTGTAACTAATTTTGTACAATGTTTGCCGGGTCGGCTAGTATATATGTATATGTTTTTTTTTCAGGTATGCAAGATGACCTGAATTCCCCTTCAGGTCGACTGATGGTAGGACAGCCCTGTGGTACAGGTACGGGTACTGTTTCTTTACTAAATAAAATTTCACATGTGGCTTTTGGGTGAAATTTTGAAAAAATTTTGAATTGTGTAATTGTAATAAGATGTAAGCGAGAATGTTATTTGTATTTTTGAGAATATATATTTGTTTGTAGAAAGTGTGTTTTAATTGAGTATAAAAGTCAGGGGTAAAAATTTGTATCAATGTTATGGCAAGGCCATGTTATGCTCCATACATTGTGCTACTGAATCATACTGTCAAAATAATGCAAAACATGGAGTATTTGCTGTGCTTTAAGGAGTTTTACACATAAACTGCAACGTTACGCTTATGTTACGAAGCTGAGTCAGAAATACCCTGTTATCTGAGAGCGTTTTTTTTTTTTGACATTTGTGCGGTTTTTACATTAGGTTTCCATCTGACAATCTGAGAAATACGTCTGACTGCACAGCAATCGCATGGCTTTTGACAAAATTTAGTATTGAAAGTTCTTCATAACATGTTCTTGCCATAACAATATATTCCGTAAGATGTATATCCTAGTTGTTTTATTTTTCCAACGCATTATATATATTGAAACAGTATGTCAGTGTTATCGCAATAAATTTTTCCCTTTAAAATATAAAAATCCCTTAAAAACGCGGTATCTGTTTTACGCGCCATTAAACCTATTCGAGTGATATGCCTTTTATATTGTGTACAGAATATGATATATCCGCATAACAATTCGCTTTATGCAAAAGATTTATTGACAGATTTAAATAAGGATTATTTTTTAAAGTAGGTTAAAAAAGAGGAAAGATCGAAACTTACATAGATTTTAAATTCATGCATAAACTAGTGGTGTATGCATCGTGCCTTAAGGCAAATTGCTGGTACTTCCCGTACCGTAATTAAACATTCGAGAAATGAAAATAATCGATGATTGTTTTGAATAATTTCAAATAGATTATTAATTATAAATACATATTGCTAATTTATAAGTGCTCATTAGGCGACAAGCGTATTCTACAAACAACTTGTGTGTATGTTTATAAGAAATTTGTTAATTTTTCTTTTTTTTATTTTTTTGATGATTTTGAAGTCCTTTCAAAATTTTGAAATTTTTTTATAAATTCGAATCTTTTTGGAATTTTTGAAAAAAATCGATTTTTTTTTTAAATTTTCTGACAATTTATAAATTTTTGAAAATATTCGATTTTTTGAAAGATTCTAAATATTCTCAACTTTTTGTAAGGAATCGATTTTTTTTTGAACAGGATGAAAAATTTCGAAAACTTGAATTTTTTGAAACTTAAAATTTCTTTGAAAATTTTGAATTTTTTGTTATTAATTTTCATCAATTTCAATTTACGAAACTTTTTGTTAAAGCATTTTTTGCACACCGTCTACACAAGCATATTGTTATTTGAATTAATCTAATCGGATGATCCGTACTCTCAAAAACTGCATAACCCTTTTCACATCCTATGCGTTCCATTACTCCGAAGCGGTTGGACGTGCCTTTTGCAAAAAAATATTTAAAACTTGGTACTGAACCCAAAAAAATTGTGTACACATTGTTAAAATCTCTATAAAATATCTGATAATTTGATTTGCATATGTCTAATAAACATTTTTGACCCGTCAAATGGCATTTTTTTTAATTTTTTTATTGAGAGTCCATAACCGCTTGACCTGCCTTTCCAAAAATTCAAACTTAGTCAATACACATAAAATCTTTGTTGAAATATTCAAATCGGACGCTCCGATCTCTCAGAAACTGAATTACGATTTTTGTAATTTTAGTCCCGAAACGGCTAGACCTGGCTTTGCCAAAAACTAATCAGCACATCTCCTTGTCAATACGAATCGAACGTTTTTTGAATCATTCAAATCTGTTGATCCGTGCGCCCGAAATCGTCAACGAAGATGATTTTGGCAAAGACAGATCGAGCCGTTTCGGAGATACGAAAAGCAAAGAGTGCAGAAAATAGAAATCTAGTTTTTGAAAGAACGGAGCATCCGATTTAAATGTTACAAAAAACTTCCTGCTTGTGTTGACCAAACGATTGCTTTTGGGGTATTTTTTTATATCGAAAATAATTCAAATTTTAATTCTAATTCTAGCTAAAGTTCTAAAGCTCACCCATATACTTTAAATATATAATTTTAACTTTGCAATTCAGTTTATATAATTCTTAGAAATATGAGATAAGGTCCTACATTCTAACTCCCTTTGATTAGGTTTTTTTTATTTAGTTTTTATGTAAACATATATAAACGTCGTCCAAATCGTAAGCTCTTATAATTTGTCTATAAAATACGAATAACGAAAGTTACAGCATTTATAATAATCTATGTTGAAAACATTTAGAATCCCTCGAATATTACATTATTGGAAGTTCTAGCGATTTGCCTTAAGGCACGACGCCATACACCACTAGTCAATTTAACACTACTTCCAAAATATCGCCTGGATCGTTTTCAACCAAAGTTACATGTCGTTCAATTCTCTAACAAATGTTCTTGAACGCCTATCCGTCCGTCTGTCTTGAAATTTACACATACAAAAATTAAAAACACAACAATTAAATCTCTTAACAATAAATAAATAAATAATATATTTAACATTGACGTCAATCTTGATTTACAATTCTAGGAAATCGTAGACACCAATTAAAATTACGAACGGTTCGTTAATTCCTTATTTTTGTTTATTGAATCCTCGTGTTTTTCTAATAACTAATATAACTTTTCATCTCAATTGATGTCTCAATTGAGACACGAGGATTGCATTCTCTACTAATTGGAATAAATTAGATAATTACTCCGTAGTAATTGATACTTTTGTGGAACACGGAATAGAAGTCATTTGAGGCGATTTGAACACAATCATTTTTAACTCTGTTATCTATGAATACGAGTGTAAAAATTAGGAGGAAGGGCTTAAACTGACTGAGCTACCGGGACATTGTAATAAGGAACTCTAGTCTATTTTTCTAAGCTGCATAGATGTCCATTATGAAGTATATCTGTATATAAGTGATACATATCTACACAAACTATTCGTGTGCTTGATCACTTGTTTAAAGTAATAAATCTGAATATCAATTCATTTCTCATTATTTATAATTATTTATAAAAATATGCAACGTTGTAATACTTAATAGCCATCATAAACGAAAAACATGTAGGCTTTCTCTAAACTTCCAAAAGTGTTTGAGATATAATTCTGAAAAAGATATATACTTGGCATGTTAGAATAAAGCTAAAGAAATTATGCCTAAAGAAATATTGTTTTCACAATTTCACTCATCATGTAATAATTGTGTTTGAAGAACTTGATGTAATTAAAATTAACATTCATTCATTGATTGTTTTTTTTTTTTTTTTTTTTGACTATTTTTTTATTTGATTCTTTTATTTGACGATACAGTCTCATTCTTTGAACAGCTGTAATATCTGTCTTGCTTATAAAAATAATTTCTAAAAATATATAGTGACCACGATTGATACAAATTAATTCAATAAACTTACGTTTCTTACACGACACAGATTTTTCATTTGTTTCAACGCTCTCACGCGACACGACGACCAATCACAATCGACCCGTATAGAAATGATCTCATCGAGAGCGAATGACGAATCATTGGCACTCGACTCGAACGTAACGCTTTTCCGTTGCATTTGTATAAAAATATTATTCGAAATACAGTATTTTGCATAAAATGGCGTCTTAACGGAGTTCTTTGGTACATAATATTAAATTGTAATTAATTTTGTTTCTAGTTTCTTGACGACACCGTCATATGATGTCGTGAAGTAAAAGTTACTTTCTCCGTTGACTTTTCAATAGGCCTATATTATTATTTTCTACACTTTTTACTAAAATCATTGATACAAGAAAACCTATCAAGCGTTACCGTCACATCGAAAAGTTAAATTCAAACATTTTTTGCGTGTAATAGGAAAGCCGGTAACAAAATTATTCATATAAGCTATATATTATATAATATTTATTATTGAGGTAAGAATTTTATTTATTGTATTCTTTATATTGACATAAATAGCATGATATATGAATAGGATAACAAAAAAGTAGATTATATATTGTGACAAACAAATAGTGACATATAGAAACGAATATTATAGAGAGTGTCATTAGAGACAATAAACGAGTAATTAGAGATGAGGTGTGTTAATAGGGAACGATGTTAACAATGTGGTTACTTTTTTCATGACAGCGACGTTGTTCTTTTTAAATTCAGGACTGGTTGTATCCATTTTGCACCCTACTTTAACATAGCACAGTTAGAAAAATCTATATTTTACTTGTTTGTGAGACAATTCCTAATTTTATTCCTAATTTCATTTTCCACCGACCCCCTCACTATTAGTGCAAGTGATAGAAATTTTTTGCACCATAAATTTACATATAAATAAGTTTAAACGAAACGGAAGTGTTAGTAGAACCGAAAGAACTGTTCAGAATGGTAAATATTAAATAAATAGATATATAAAATTTATTTATAAAATTCAAAATTAATTTGTGAAATTTATTTTAGAAAATGTTAAAATTGTTCTTAGTTTTGTGTTTTTTGGCTGCTTTGACGATGGCTTTGCCTTATGGTGGCGAATCACATGATCGAGATTCTGGTAATAAAAAAAACTTAGTAATAAAATTTATTATTAATTAATATTATTAACTTATATAATATAATTTTTACCATCTTTTGGAACGTGAAAGTAATGGGGCAATTCTGCCGTAACAGAGCTCATAAAATAGCGTTGTCATGGCAACGCTCTTTTAAGCTTGTTCTTGGTATTGAAGATTATGAAAATGTCTTTTTTTTTTTTTTTAGTTTTTAAATATTTTATTATTAAGCTACAACGCAGTTAATAATAATAATAAAATTTATTCTACATAAAGCATACTTCAAAGGAATATTTTAGTTATCTAAAAATAATTTCATAATCTAAAATAATGAAGAACTTCAATTCTTCCATATTAATATTACATAAGAATTACAACATTTTACTAGAGCATATTTACAAAATAATTTCCAAACAAAATTTTGTGTAACTATTTTCTATTTACAATTTGAAATATTTATTATATAAATTTATCAATTAACATAACAGGAATCGAAATTTATGCGAAGTGGTTCTAATGAATATAACATTGTCAGTATAAAACAAATATTTAAAAAAAAATTGAAAAAAGTGATAGTTACATTAAATGTTTGCCTGTAACTTCTTTTAAAAATTCATTTAAACACAGGAACATATTATTTAGCAAAAAAAAAATAGTCATACTATCCACCACATGTTTGAAAATTGAAACAAAAACACATATTTTTTTATTATTAATGATACATTGATTATATAGAAACATGGAATTGGATTTTGACAAACATTTATGATATAATTTGCCGTGCGATCAGGCGTATTTTATATATAAACAAAGCAAGTATGATGGATCATTGCAGATTCTGTTATCGAACATGCCACCGGACTTGTTTTTATGTAAAATACGCCTGATCGCACGGCAACTTGATAGACATTTTCACATTTGAATTTTCGATTACATTTGAAATAACGTGTTATATATATATATATATATATATATATATATATATATAATTATGCATATAAAATCGTCAACGCACTATAAATTTCGAAAATTTATATTATACTATTATTATTATATTAATTGCCGAGTTTTTTACTTATTTTACGAGCTCTGTTACGAATTGTCCCAAAAAATTTGTAAATTTGCGAATTTTAATTTGATTTTATTTATTATTTTTTTATTTTAATTATTATTCTAATTACTATTTTATTTATTTTAATTATTTTTAGACCATGTAGGTCGTGTTCAAATTAAAGTATATCGTGGCCCTACAGATGAAGCTGAAGAATATGCACCTTGGGGATTTTGGGTGAAACAACCAGCTGAAGACGATACATATTAATAAAATAATTTTAAAATATTAATTTAAGACCAAACCAAAGTTTCTGTTAAAAAAAACGTTTTTGTTATATAAAAATTAATTTAGTGTAAATTATTTTAAGTTTTATATGTACCCGGTGTTTTTATGAATACAATTTTATAAGATGAACTTGAAATTTTGTTGATTGGTGAAAAGGTCAGTCAAATTACTAAAGATAACAATGATGTGTGCAATTAATTAGGGTCTTTGCAAAATCTATTTTTTCCGGGCTAAAAAATGCTCAAATATTTTTAACTTCCCGTAGGGCAAGTTATAGTAATTGCAAAGAAATCCAAAAATGATAATTTTTATATATATTTACGTTTCAATAGGTTTGAAAAAGAGTTGAAAAATTTAAAATGTAAACTAGTTGGTTTGGTATTTAGCCTTGAGGCAAGTTACATGAACTTCCCGATATGTGTAAATAATAAACTTCATCAGTCCTACTTTAAACGATAATAATTTTAGCAAAGTTTGACGAATTTGTTAAAATTAAACTACTTGTCGTAAGGCCGTAATATTACAGTAAGTTCTATAAGACCATGATGTATATCGCCAAAAAAAGTTCCATGAAAATCGGCTTAAATTTTTTTTCAGCAGTTAATTACAAGAAAACGGCTCGGTAGATTTTCACCTAAAATTAATCAGTACCATTCCCAACTAATATCTTTAGAACAGTTTTTGATTTTTCAAAATCGGTTCGGTAGGATGAGCTTAAATGTGGACGAAAAGTTTAACAATTTTTTTTCAAATTGCAAAGAAATGGCTTGGCAGATCGTCGCACAAAACTGACAAACGATAGTCCTCACCGAAATACATCAAATATCTTTTAAATTTCTAAAATCGGCTCAGGCGTTTTTGAGAAAACGTCGATCAAAGGTCTAACTTTGACAAATGCCAAAAAAACGATACCAATTTTTGTAAACTTTGACGAATTTTTAGAGCTGAACCTGTTGTCGTAGGGCCTTAATATTTTAGTATGATCTAGAAGACTATGGTATCTACCGTCAAAAAAATAATCATAAAAATCGTCGAAATTTTTTTTTTGAAAACTTTATTACAAGAAAACGACCCGGCCGATCTCTACCAAAAACTAATCAGCACGATTCCCAACCAATATCTTTCGAACGGTTTTTGAATTTTCAGAATCGATTCAGAATTGCGGGCTAAAACGTGGACGAAAAACTTTTCACTTCTCTGCTATTTACGAAGAAACGGCTTGGCCGATCGTCGCACAAAACTGACAAACAATAGTCCTCATCGAGATACATCGAATGGCTTTCAAATTTTTGAAATCGGTTCAGCCGTTTTTGAGAAAACGGCGACTTACGGCAAAAAATCTGTTGGTGCACACACACACACACACACACACACACTTTTCCAAATTCGGTCTCATTCGATTCAGAATGGCTTAAAACGTCCAGGAGAAAACATAAAATTAGCGAATCGGATTTTTTGATGAAAACATAAACTTCTCCTTCGGGAAGTTAAAAAAATCAAATTTTTCAAAAAAGTAAATACAATTTTTTCCAAAAAATTTTAAATTTTTTCAAAAATCAATTTTTTTCAACGTTTTGGAAAGTTTTTTTTAAAAATTTAAGTTTTTGGTACTGAAAGTTCCAGCAATCTGTCTTTAGACAAGGTAACATGCGCCACAAGTTCATACGATATCGTAGCATGATCGACGTATATACTCGTCATGAGCTAGACTCCGTCGACATAAAACTACTGTACTACTGTTGGATGAGGAAAAGCTACAATTAAGTGTTGAAAGACATGGAAAATACCTTAAACTTTTATCAATATCAATAACTAGCACGGGATAAAAGTCTAGATGAAACTAATAGGACGTGTGTAGGAGTGCCGTCCATGGACGACATCAAACCCATGACTTCCATTCAAACGACGCAAAACTGGGTTAAAGACATTGAAAGTGTCGAAAATGTCACTTGTCCAATATTAAAAATCTTTTACCAATAACTTTTGCCTTCGGGTGAATTTCTGTATCATTTATTTTACAAATAAGGAAACCGTCATCGGACACCTCTAATTATCGATACTTTCGCATTCGACATAATCACAGACGACGACGACGACAACGTACGTAAATCGACTAATTTTAACATCACCTGATTCGAAAAAAAATGTACGGAAATAATTTTGGCACTTGCAATGACATTCGGTTTGATTGGCATTTATAATAAAGGCCAAGGACCTGTGAGACATTAATAAAACTTCAGAGGAGAAATTGACTTTTCGAAGAGGGTTATTGTCATTGGGTAAAAATAGACTTAGAAATAGTTGATATTTTTTTATGAGCTAACTTAGTATTTTTTTAAGAACACAACCCAATGGTCAGCCACTCTTTTTTTATTATGCGTAGACCATATAAATATATTTATAATAGTATTGAAGTATATATGTGCTACAGCAATGCCTACTAGAAAGTAATTTCACGATTAAATTGGAGAATTTAATCGTGAAATTGGTTTTAATTTCACGATTAAATTGGAGATCTATAACCTCAAGTAAAAATTTAATATCACACCTCTTGATATCGAGTTGGCTGATGTAGGAATCGAATTCGGATGCTAGCCTAGTACTATTTTTGATAGTAATAATTATAGACATGGAATGTGTAATCATTTTTATGTTTATAGTTTTTAAGTCGATTTTATGCTTTAGAAAGATTTTGTTTTAGTTTAAATTTGTTTTAATAAATTTCTAAATTGATAAAATTGAAGCAGAAATGTGTCTTCCAGAAACTTCTTAATTTTTATTAACTAATAATTTAACATAATCTCCAAATTTTTAAATAAACATTAATTTTTGTTTTATTTCCCGAACAATAAGTTTTGTTTGTTGAAAATTCGATTTGTTCATGTTTTCTCGACGTTTAAAGCCGTTCTGAATCGTTCGAGACCAAATTTGGACAAAAAATATGTGTGTGTGTGTGATTTTATGATTTTTCGTCGACGTTTTGCCAAAAACGGCTGAACCGATTTAAAAAATTTAAAAGCCATCGGATTTTAAAAAGAAAAGAAAAGACGATTCTCCGAAATTAACAAAAGAAATACATTTTTTAACTTCCCGTAGGGTAAGTTATAATAATGGGCCGAAAATCGGAATTGAAAATTTTTACATTTCTCGACGTTTTGAAGGTTTCTGAACATTTTACTGGCATACCTCAGAAAAAATGGATTTGTGTGCGTGTGGGTGTATGTATGTGTGTGTATGTATGTATGGATACAAATTTGCACTCACGTTTTCGGGCGCACGGATCAACCGATTTGAGTGGTTCAAAAAAAATTCCATTCCTATTGATAAAGAGATGTGCTGATTAGATTTTGTCAAAGGCAGGTCCAGCCGTTACGGAGATACGGAGCAAAGAGTGCAGTAAATATAAATCGAGTTTTTGAGTGAACTAATCGTCCGATTTGAATGATCTACAAAACATTCAATCAGTAATGATTGGGAGAATTGGTTATTAGTTTTTGGCAAAGGCAGGCCTAGCCATTTTGAAGATACGGAGCTAAATGTACCAAAAATTGCAGTTTTTGAGAGAACTAAGCGTCAGATTCAATTGATTCAAAGAACTTTCTGCTTGTCTTAACAAAATAATTGATTTTGGAAAAAAAAATTTGTTTCAATTTTTTTTTTTAATTTTTTGTCTATCGAAAATAATTCAGATTTTACTTTTAACTCTGACTATAGTTTTAATATACTTTACAAATAATTTCATCTTTGCAATTCAGCTTATAAATATTAGACAATGTTCCAATATTTATAATAATCTATTTGAAAACATTCAATATTCCTCGAACATTTCGTTACGGTACGGGAAGTTCCAGCAATTTGCCTTAAGGCACGATGCCATACACCCAACTAGTTTCAATTGCTTCTGAACGGATATAAAAAACTGGATCCTAACTAATTCTAAGTAGATTCTAATTAGATTTCAACTGAGGCTGTTTTGATTCATAATATCTTTCTAACTTACATTTAAGTTAAGATTTATGATTGAGTCAAGACATATGTCAAGGTAGTGGGTGATTAGTAGATTCTTAATAGATTTACTAAATTTTAAACTACAACTCAATAATAAAATTAGATTCAGAATGGGTTCTAACTAGATTCTAACGTAAATCTGCCTACATTCTAGCTTTATTCTGACTATATTTAATTTGATTGTTTCTCGATTTTGGCCTGATAACAAATAACTATTACATCTACAATATGACTAGCTGCATTCTAACTAAATTTAGGCAAAATCTAAGTATAAATTTGAAATGTAACTAAAATTCAACTCACAATTTAGATGCTTTCGATTCAACTTTAAATATTTGAATAGATTCTTTGTCACCTTATGAATAGTAAAAATGTTACCAGTAATTTAAATCATTAAAAATATCTAGAACTATGTACGTGATATGCAATTTTGTCAGTATGTTTTTATAACAGATTCTTAATATTTCATAAAATAATTTATTAAGTTTCTTTTAGAAAAAATCTCAAATATAAAACAAATTCATATATAGTTATATTATTCTTTTATTATTATTCTTTTTTCTGAATTTTCTAATTTTACAATACATATTCTCACTAGTTTTTCTCGATTTTCTCTTAAACGGTAAAAGATACGAAAAAACTTTGTTCGTACGAAAGATGCAGAATAAAATTACGAATAAAATGGTATATAAATGGTTAGGTGTGTTCATATAATTTTCTCTAGATTTTCCGATTGTTCCGAATTTTCACGACGGCAACTCGCCTGTAGGCCACACCGTGCAAAATTCGAAGTTGTGATATATGGGGAAAAAACTAAGAATTTTGAGACCTTTCTAATGATGTATAATACTTTATATGTTTTCTTTAGAGAAATATCGAATCGTGAGGAGTGTTGCTCTAACCTAACCGCACTTTGCATTTTGACAAGTTAATAACTACACAGATTGCTCTATAACATCTAAACCATAAAAGATTCGAAAAAACTTTGTTTGTGCGAAAGATGCAGAATAAAATTACGAATAAAATGGTATATAAATGGTTAAGTGTGTTCATATAATTTTCTCGAGTTTTCTATGAAATTTAACATTGCGATGAAGATCAAACGCTAAACAGTCCTACGAAAGTTGATTGAATTATATTAATTAAAATTAGAATAATAAACTACAATTTTAGGACATACTACAAGCACTATTTGTGCCTGTGCAATATAATTAAAATAATTACATTTAATTTAAATGTGTTTGAGAAATTTCAATTGGAAATCGCAATGTTTAGATTTAATTGATACCAAAAACTTGATTTTCGTCACAAACAGTTGACTAATTTCATCTAAATACCTAAATCTCAATTTCGGTTCATTAAGTCAATTCTTACACATTTCGGTAAGTTTTTACCAACTTGCCATAAGGCTAAATGCCACTTGCACTTATTAGTAATTAGTTATTCAATTCGTTTTCTTCTCGGCGCATGTGTCTTCGATCTTCGAATCGCCCGCGTCACGCCACGCGATCTCGGCCAATCAGACGCGAATCAGGCGACCCACCGGACCAATCAGAAGACGAAGACCGAAGAACGAAGAACAAGAAGGCAAAAATGCATCGTATGACTTTCTGTTCTGAAAAATGAGACCGGCGAAAAATAAAAGAAAGATTTGCTTTACTTTTCGAAGTAAATATATATATATATATATATTGATGTATACCGAGAAGAAATCGGATACATTGCGAGGCCAAGGTTGTTGACTAGAGACTATTACACACTAACAATAAACTAGTGGTGTATGGTATCGTGCCTTGAGGCAAATTGCTGGAACTTTCCGTACCTTAACGGAATGTTCGAGGAATGAAAATAATCAATCATTGTTTTGAATAATTTGAAATAGATTAAGCTATAATTAAAAAAATATTTGGAAATTGTGTTAAATTATTAGTTAATAGGTATCGAGAAGTTTCTGGAAGGCAAATTGCTGCTTAAATTTTATCAATTTAGAAATTTATGAAAGATTTTTTAAAACTAAAACAAAATCTAGATTATTTATCATAAATACATACTGAAAATTTATAAAGGCTTATTAAATTGGGCGATGGGTGTATTCTACAAACAACCTATTTGTGTTTTTATAAGAAATTTGAGCATTTTTTTTAATTTGATTTTTTTTAATAATTTAAATTTTTTTCGAAATTCTGATTTTTTTGGATTTTTTTTTAAAAAACGTATTTTTTAAATTTTTTGAGAATTTGGAAATTTTTGAAAATATCCGATTTTTTTGAAAATTTCCAAATATTCTCAAGTTTTTGTAAGAAACCGATTTTTTCTTTAATTTTTCAAAAATTTAGTTTTTTTTAATGGTGAAAAATTTCGAAAATTTTAATTTTTTGAAAATTTTGAATTTTTTTTTTTGAAAATTTCCAAAATTACTTTAGTAAATTTTCTGTAAATGCATTTTTTGCACACCGTCTACTCAAGCAAAATGTTTTTTAAATTTATCTAATCGGATGATTTGTTTTCTCAAAAACTGTGTAATCGTTTTTAATAGATTTATAAGAATTTTGAAATTTTTGAGAAATACTCACTTTTTTAAAAATTCATTTATGAGAAAATTCAGAACTTTTTTAGCAATCGCGCTCAAATTTTTGATTTAGTTGTGATATCCGAAATTTGATTAAATACCATTTATAAGGACAGTCAGATTATCAAATTTCAATCGCTATATACGATGAATGCTATAGCATCCATGTCAAGTATTACGTTTGTATTTAACGCAATGTGGGAATAGATAAAATAATACGAAAACACTAATATCAATAGGAATCGGATGTTTTTTATAGTCGATTTTTTTTTACTTGAAAATGTTCAAAAAAATTTCAAATTCTAAGAAAAATCTAATTTTTCTTCCTAAGATTTTAGAAATTTTAAATGGAAAGTTTGAGCAATTTGTCTTAAGGCTGGTTACCATACACTACTAGTTTTTTTTTTAGCAAAATTGACTCTTTTTCTAACTATTAAACATTGGATTTAAATTCCTACATTAAAAAAAAAATCCAGGTGTTTTGTTTATATCTCACACATACTATTTTTTTTAAAAAAAGTTTTCTGTCCATTTATGAGTCTTTAAACCTTAAATTCATAAAGATTTAGTTATTATTAAAAAAATAAAAATTTATAAAGGTTTAGTTATTATTAAAAAATTAATAATATTAATAATTATTAATATATATTTGCAATTACAAGGACTATTCATTTATTCCATTTGCCTTAAATTTATTTTACAAAAAAATGACGGAGTTTCTGGGAAGTTTTCAATTACACTTTGTCTGAAAACAAAATTCCACTAACTCCTAGTTAGCAAAAAAAAAATTCGTCATCAAAGTGTGAATACAGCCCAATAAAATCTTAGTAAGGTTTTAGTTTATTCAAACGACAAAAAAATCCGAAGTAA